TTCATTTTTAATCACTATCTTTTTATGTATTTTTATGCTGGAGCCAATAATGAAAGTTATTAAAAATAAAACCTTGTGTCTAATTTTTTTTTCTTGAAGAATCTACAGGGTACCGGGGCTACCTTCAAATGATTAAAAATTATTTTCTGTGAGATATTTGAGAGCGTTCAGTAATCATAATTGGAACGTACTGCCATTTGATACCACACACAAGATGCAAATAAACAAAATTTATTATCTTAGTTGGCTCGGCTCAAAAAAACTTGGCATTGTTTATAATAATAAAGTAACTAATATGAATGATATATTTTTCAAAATTTTCATTAAATAATACATCTGTATGTTATCGGTCATATTCATTAAATTCTCTTATAAATATATACAAACGGATTATATATATATATATATATATACGTTGACATAAATTTTATTTGTGTGTTATATATGCATTCACATATATACAAATATATTATATATTTCATATTGTAAGTATATGACATGATTATATATTATATTTAAATTCCAGTACTATTTGCAGTCTTTGCCTTTTAAAAAAGCAGAAGTGATATAAATAGAGCTGAGGAAATCCTTGAATGAATAAAGTGTAAATCCCCATTCAATCTGTGTCTACCATCCTCCCTATGGCTTCTTGTTTCTGCCTTCATAATTGTAACGAATCAGAAGCTCTACGAGTTTGTGATTTTAAAAATAAGTTTTTATTATTTTTATCATTATTTTCAAGTTATCCATAATACATTTGTTTGTTAAATATTAAAAGCAGATTACCTATTTTTGTGTTTTATTTTATTTTATTTTTTATTCGTAAATTTTTAGGCTAGTAAAATTATTTTTTTATCATATTATCTACCTCTACTGTACAGCCACATGCAAATAAAAGATGATCATTATTCAATTCACTACGCACTACTAATGTTTAAAATTTGAAACCAACTATTGACTAACACTAACTACAGTTAACCCAAATTTAATTTTCCCTCCCTCTCTCTCTGTCTCTCTCTGCCTCTCTCTCTCTGTTTCTCTTTTTCTCTCTAATAACTTGTTATTACAAATTTTAAATTTGCTAGGCAAGTTTGAATGAAGTGTCCTTTGGAAAACCCTTAACAAAGAATGAAATTCGAAAAAGGTTAGCTGTTGTTTACTGAAATCTTGTGCTAATAAGTTTTGCAATGTATGACGTAAGATATTGTTGGTGAAATGTTATAACATAGTGGTTGAAATTTTGGGACAGTTGTTGGTGGAATGCTTAGATGGGATCATGTTTTTTTTACATATTGATAATAAATAATTACTCAAGCAAAACCATGTAGTTTAAAATATTACATTTTAATTGAAATAAATTATGCTGCAGTTTATGTGTTATTTAATCTTATATACATCACAGTCTGCTAAAAAAGTTTTCTGAAAAATTGCAAAATAGATTAATCTGTACTGATATATTCCATTAAGTTCAGTGCTTGTTCTGCTAATTATAATATAAGTTAATTAAACGTTTACCAGCAAAGAAAATATTTTTGTTAATAAGGACTAACATTTCACAATATGGTGTAACATTTCTATACTTTAAATTAATATTGTAGTAAGTAGCTTGTGATGTCTAGCTAGGAGAATTCTATATTATTCTATATCATCCAACATACAATGATTGTATGTTGGATGATACAATGTGATACATGTATGAATGTCATACAATGTGATACATGTATGAATGCCATATTCATTTGATTTCGAAGGTACATAGCCGGAATGCTGTTGGGCGGAGCAGCAGATGCAATTGGATATTACCACGGCGCTTGGGAGTTTCAACAGTCTAGTGTGAAAATTCATCGAGACGCCAAAAAGATGGGTGGCATAGCTGCTCTGGATGTCCGACGTTCGTTTCTTCTTCTTCTTCTTCAACATTTTAAATAGTTTCTTGAATGTAATCCGTAATTGCATTAGCTTAATATCAAGTCTACAGTGAAAATTCATGTTATGTAGTTAATAATGTTGCCATGTTAAATGCTGCCTAGCTACGCATAATTTTTTTAGAAATTAATTATCAAAAGCGTCATTGTATGTCAACAATCTGTTACAAATATTATCTTTTAATTAATTGTGAATGTATCAACAGCACACACACGCGCACGCAAACACACACTTTCATGCACGCACAGGGCGCATGTGAATACACGCAAATCTACGCATATCACAGATCGTACGTGATAAGCGGGGATCTCTTAGCATTCGAACACAGTCGCTGCAGCAGCAGGACCAGACGCCTTAATCATTACACTATGTTGCCACCTAAATAATATGTAACAACGTTTTTATTAGCATATTATAGAAATATATTTAAATAAAAATTAATAATTATTTGTAGAGCCAAAGTGGATTGTCTCTGATGACACTGTTATGCACCTAGCTACAGCTGAAGGTTTCGAAACGTTTCATCTGTCTAAAATAACTTATTTGAAAATTAATTATAATCAGCAAAAATTAAATCAAACTTTCATCTGCTAACTTGTATATTTTTTAAAGCCATTGTTGAATATGGAAAGTTGGGAATAGATGATTTAAAGAAGTTGTACTTAATAGTAGCCAAGCATTATGTTGTATGCATGACTGACATGACGGGTAGAGCACCAGGTTGAAACTTATTTTTTTAATCTAAAAATCGCAAAAAATATTTATAAATATTTATTTAGAAAAATATTTATTTATTTACAATAATATTTAATTTTATTTCCACCATTTTTGTTAAATTTCAATTATACGTAAATCGTATAATTAATTGATATAATATTGAAAGACATTAAAAGAAGAGAAACAAACTAAGCAACTTGTTTATTATCCAAGAAAAAAAAAAAGAAAAAGGAAAAAAAAGTGAAGTTACATACAAAGCAAAGAACATTTGGTCCAAAGAAAAATAAATGTATATTATAAATCATAATGTTTTAATATAAAACTTAAAACCTTCTCATTTTATTTAAAACATTACATGACCTTAACCTAAACGTTCTGAAGACCCATCGCACACTCTTTAGTCTTGGTCCTACCATTGGTTTTGTCAGAGCATCAGCAACTTGAAGTTCTGTCGCAACTCGTTCAACTGAAACTTCTTCTTCTGCAACTTTTTCTCTGACAAAGAAATGTCTAATGTGGATGTGCTTTGTTCTTCTGTGAAGTTCTGGATTGTGTGCTAAACGAATTGCTGCTTCATTGTCGACAAAAATTTATGGCTTTTTCTTTAGATCTACAATGTCGTTCAACAATCGTTTGAGCTATATCACTTCACGAGCTGCTTCACTTGCGGCAACAATTTCTGCTTCAGTAGTTGAAATCGCAACCCAGGGTTGATGTTGGCTAAACCAACTGATCACGCTTCCTCCAAACATACAGATTACACCTGATGTCGATCTTCCACTAGATTTATCTCCTCCATGATCTGCATCACTGTAGGCTATAAGTGTATTGTTTTGACCAGACTTGTAAACAATACCGACATCAGCTGTGCCTTGCAAATATCTGAAAATTTGCTTAACTTGTGCTACATTGGACTTGCTGGGTTTCTCTAAACTTCTGGATGCTAGTCCAACTGCATATGCAATATCTGGTCTTGTTCCCGTCATCAAGTACATCAATGCACCAACTGCTGATCTGTAAGGAAATTTCACTTCCTCGTGTTCATTTTTGTTTTCATCGAACTCCTCAGATTTTGAAATTGGAGTTGAACAGGATTTACACTGACTCATCCCAAACTTTTCAAGAATCATTCTTGTATAGGATGACTGACTGACATTAATATTTTCCTTCTCATCTTGATTAATCTCTAATCCAAGGAAATATGTTGCAGGTTTAGATGTTATCTTGAACTCTGACTTTATTTCTTTTTCAAATATTTTTAGTTCTTCTTTATCGGTTCCTGCAACTAGTCCATCATCGACACACAGTGCAAGTATGAGTTTCTTTCCTCCCTGTATTCTAAGTATTCTAATGAACAAACAAGTATCTGCATCGCTTTGTTTGAAATGTCTCTTTTTCAAGAATTCAGCAAAGTGTTTGTTCCAACATCTTGGAGCTTGTTTAAGTCCACAGAGACTACGCTTGAATTTACAGACTCTTCCTGAATTATCTTTAAAACCTTCAGGTTGCTCCATGTAAATATCTTCATCTAGTTTGCTGTATAGAAATGCTGTTGACACATCAAACTGCATGAGTGACATCTTTTCATTTGCAGCAACACTTAATAGTGTTCTTATAGTTGAACTTCTGACCACAGGACTATAGGTTTCATCATAGTCAATTCCCTTTTTCTGAGAAAAACCTTTTACCACTAGCCTGGCTTTAAAACGTTCAACAGAACCATCTGGATTGTGTTTTACCTTGTAGACCCATTTGCATGGTATTGTCTTATGACCTTTTGGAAGACTTACCAAATCCCACGTTTGATTTTCCTTTAATGACTGCTCATGGCTTTTTCATCACTTTGAATGGCATCTTTGTAGCTCACTGGTTCAAGTACTTCACATAACGCAGACATAACGAAAGGATCATAACGAGATGGCTTTTTGATATTATTCCTGTCACATAAAACCATACCTTTGGCCTTTTGATTACAACAGTCAGATTGATCTTCTTCATCAGATGAAACTGAATTACGGTTGTGAACATCTTCATCAGTTGAAATATTTTCTTTAATCAAAGTTTCTTTATTTTCATCTGAACAACTTTCTTCTTACAAAATCACTGAATTTGGTTTGACAACCTTCTCATCAAAAATAACATCTCTTGATCGATGTATTTTAACACGTTTCTTATTCTGATGTCCCATTCGTTCATGGTATAACTGCAATGCATCTTGATCATTGACAAAGTTAACTTCGACTTCAGAATTTAACGGTCTAACAGTTTTTGCAACAAGTTTGAACAAACCTCCATTGTTTCACATTGTCAATAAGTAGATGACAACTTCTTGAGGTTGAAACAAAAGAGCTATTTCTGTTCTTATCTTGAGTTGCAAGTACTGAGAACAAATTTCTTTTTACTTTTGGCACATACAAGACATCTGTAAGTTTAACAGTTTGCCATTATTCACTTTCACTTGAAGATGAAAAGCTTCTACAGTATCACCATTTGCAACATATAATTTACTCGGTTGAGAAAATTTTTCAAAACTTTGAAATATGTCTCTTCGGAAAGTTAGATGACACGTTGCACCATTGTCAAAAAACCATTCATCAGTGTATGCTGACTCATCAATTGCAAAAACACTTGATCCCATAACAACTAGTGATTTTTTATTGTCATCGCATAGATTGTTATTTCTTGGTTTTGCTGGTCTACCATCAGAATGCCATTTTTCACAATTTCTTACAATGTGACCTGGCAATTTGCAATAATGACATATCAGTCGCTTTGGTTTGCTGACAAATTTATCTTGTTTTTGACCATTCATGTTTAGTGATGATGACCTTTTAGTTGTTGCTTTGACAAATAATACTTTATTTTATTCTGTTTTACCTTCCAAAGATCTCTCATAGCTACACAGTTGATCTGTGAGTGTTTCGACTGTTCTTTCAGTCTTGTTCAACAATCTCCAAATTGCAGCAAATGAAAAATATTTTTCTGGCAAAGTTTCAATTATTTGGCACATCAGCAACAAGTCACTGTTTTCATCTTTTCCTAACTCAACCTTTAAATCTTTCCAAAGATTCTTGAGTTTTGTGACATGAGTGACAACATCATCGCTTTCATCTATTTTATAACTGAAGAACTTCATGCATAAGTTGTATGCTTTATCTTCATTAACTTCATCATACAATCTGTGAAGTTCTAACCAAACATCTCTGGCATTACTGAATGAACGAACTTTTTCATACGTTTCATCGGTCATCTTGGTTGACAGAATAACCATAGCACTACGATCTGCTTTATTGAATCTGTTCAAAGCAGTTTGATATTTTGCTATCTCATCTTTATTTGAGTCATCATTTAATTCATCTGGAATTTTTAATTTGCCATTTACTACGTCCATTGCATCAGGAATACTGTGTAGTATTATACAAACTCTCGACTTCCAGTTTAACCAATTACTTTTGCCTTCTAGGTGTTTGATCTGCACTTTTGTTAGATCCATTTCTTTCTTGTCTTTCAATTTGACCTTTTAATTAGAAGCAAAATATCGACTTTCAGAGAATGAAGCACGTGTTTTTTCTTCACTTCAGTCTTCACAAACACAAAGGAATCTTCCGATATTTCTTTATTCTAAATTTTCTTCGTCAAATCAATTAATTAAGAAAAACGTTATCTGGGTCCCATAATCTGTTAAATTTCTTGTCACGTAGATCGTTTAATTAATTGATATAATATTGAAAGACATTAAAAGAAGAGAAACAAACTAAGCAACGTTCTCGACTTGTTTATTATCCACCGGATCAACCGAAAAATGAAAAAAAGTGAAGTTACATACAAAGCAAAGAACATTTGGTCTTAAGAAAAATAAATGTATATTATAAATCATAATGTTTTAATATAAAACTTAACAATTTTCACTCATAATATTTAATTATAAATATTTTGACTTTGAATGCATATGCATGCCAAATGTTAGGTTTAACATGCTGCATCGGGGCCGCACATTTGAAACCAGATGAACCTGACGGATATATAATCAATTTTGATTCTAGGTTGAAATAGATTTTTTTTAATACGTTATATTCTTCATTTTTTCAAGAGAATTAGTTTTTACTTCTTTTAGTTTAAAAATATTTAAATAAAGCAAATGATTTTCAAATTCCAGTGGCGGTGGATGTGGAGCGGCCATGAGAACCATGTGTGTTGGCATGTACTTTCCAAAGTCAGACTTATTTTGAAAATTTTATTGAAACTGTCATTAAATATTTTATAAAAGAAATTTTAATATTGTCAAAATAATATTTAATGAGACTATTTCACATAAATTTCTTCCAAAAGATTAGATTAAAATGGTTGTTTTCAATAGAAATGCTTTAATGAAACCAAATAAAGGCCTGAGCAGTTGGAATCCTTGGTAGCTGTGAGCATAGAATGCGCTCGCATGACTCACAACCACCCAACTGGATATCTGGGATCGCTAGCAACGGCATTGTTCACTAGCTACGCCATTCAAGGTTTTTAAATAATAATAGATTGGATGATTGAAAATTATTTCAGTTATTTTCCGTCTGTTATAAAATTAAAGTATGTATTTTTATCATTAAATTCGGTTGAGTTTTGCAAGATGTTCTACATTAGTAACATATAAATGTTAAAGTATGTGATATTGATAGCCAAGGCTCTGAACTCATGGGGTGCCGGTTTGATAGAAACGTTAAATCTCGCTTGGCAGTATGTTAAAAATGAAGGAAGAGATGTCGAAAAAAACGAAGCAAATTTGTTAGTTACAGTATATCAGTTTGTTAATTTTTTGTTGAATAAATTTTCAAAATTGTTTCCTTTTTTGGGCTCGGAATATTTTGTTCCATCCAGTTGTGATTAGAATATAAACCCCGTTTTGATGATGATCTGAAAAATTGAAATTCATCCACAACCACCCTAAAAGAAGTTACTTTAGGAACGCTTGGACTAAGTATTTGAACTTGCGCGGCATAGCTGACGGCAAATCATCACCAGTATTTCCAGAAAACTTTGGCGTCGAAGAGAGAGATGAATTTTACAAAAAGATCAGCTACAATGGAAGAGGTGGAGCCTCTGGACACGATGCTCCAATGATAGCGTTTGTACGCTTTTCAATTTCGTATATGTAATTATTTTTTTATATAAAAAAGATTCACGCAAAGAAAAGTTAATTTGAAAATTAACTTTTTTGATACACACTTCGCACGTTCAGGTATGACGCGTTGTTAGCCTCGGGAAGCAGCTGGAAAGAACTATCCGACAGAGCATTGTTTCACGGCGGTGATAATGACAGCACAGGTCACATAGCAGGTGTATGGTATGGCATCTTGTATGGAATAAGGGACGTTCCTGTTGTAAATTATCAGGTTGGTTTGGTTATCCTTATTATAAATATTGTTTTGACAAAATTTGTTTCGCTATTCTTCTCAATACCAGTCACTTCTATATTGGTCATGGTCATGAGACTTCTCAAACGAAAAGAAATTATAAGCTAATTTTTAAGAATGCTTTAAAAAAGTAAAACCTAGATAGTTTATAAATATTGTAAGAGATGTATGCAACTGATGGTATTAGTGATGCTAAAGCTGAACAATTTTCAAATAAAAACCTTCTATAGATCTAGAATAAACATTGTTAAGTCGGAATAAACTCACAAACACTTAGTGCTGTGGATTTGAAAAAATAGTCGTTGGTTACTACAATGCTCTTATTTCAAATTTATAACATCTTAAAATATTTTGAACAGAACGTGGAGTACAGAAACCGCCTGGAAGCAGCTGGAGAGAATATTTTTAATTTGGTTGAAAATTTGTTTGATTAAATAAGACTAATAACTTATCTCATTATAAACTTTTTCAAACTTGTCAGTATCCTTGCCTAGCCTTCAAGTGTTTTTTGTTTGAAGTTTTATGTTTTTATACGTTTTTGATAAGTATTAAATAAAAAAAAGTCATTTTTATGAATTTCTCATGCTTTTTAACTCATGTTTTAATAATTTAATTTTGGACGAAGTTCACCAAGTTCTATTGAATTGATTATTTAAACATTTAAAACTTTATCTCCGAAAAATATCTCTTTTTTTAAAGTAAATTTGCATATGTTTTACAGATACTTTATTAAAGTGAAGAAAAGACATCTATGTATTTTATACCTTTTTATAAATAAATTGTATACGCAACATTGTTCAGAATATTTATAATAAAATTGAAAAATTAAATTTTTTCTTCAATTTTTTAAACATGATAAAGGGAGTTCCTATAATACGCGAATGGACAACCAAACTTCGCGTAAAGAAGGTTATATTTACGATTTATATTTCAAACTGGCTTCCGGACTATTTAAATTTATTCCTCTTTCGTCATCAGCCATATCACATTGTTGAAAATTATTGAGTATATGTATGTATGTATGTATGCATGTATGTATGTATTTATGAATGTATGTACGTATGCATCTATGTATGCGCCAAATCTAAATGAAGCATGTAACCTATTAGTTATTCGGTCACAGCCAAAAATTTTCCCAGCCACATGTATGGCTGCTTCTGTGAGATGGGCAGTGTGTACCCATCGTACGCTTAGAATGCGAGATGACGAGCCACACTCCCACACTTATATAAACAAACATAAACACACACACACACACGCACAGACAGTTAAACAACGATTTTGATAAACTAAGCCCTGATGAGTAAAAAGTTAACATTTAGGAGATCGTACGTTGTAAAGAAGTCCGCTGTTAGCAAATCTTCTTAATGTGATGATCTCTTATATGTTCATCTAAATTTCGTTATTTCGAACTCCAAACATCCATCGATCAGACATTAAATATAGTAATAAGCAGATTTATTGACGTTTTTATAAAAGATGAATGAACGAACGAACAAACGAACAAATAAATAAATATATAGATTTATTTATTTACATATGCGGGAGTTTTATCATATAGTAATCGTTAGATTGTTGACATATAGATTTGTTGCTATATTCAAACTGATGAAATGTTTGATAAAACATGCATTTACAAAAGTTTTGAATGTATAATATTTAATGTTTAACCATCATTTATTCGTATCTATTTACATATTTAAAAGTAATTTAGCAATTGTAACTTTCAATATTTATGAATAATAATAATAATAATGAATAATAATAATAATGAATAATAATGAATAATAATACTGGAAAATTATTATTCACTGTCAAGTAAAGGAGAATAATATCATTGAAAATCCAAATAAACAGTAAACATGCACTCGCGCACGTCTGTTCCTACAACCTAAAATATGCCGAAAACTACTCCAAAATCGAGAAAGCATGTGAACGAACCAGAAAAAAGAATATATTAGCATCATTTATTTCCGAAACCATCTGATTTTTAGATTTTAAACCATCAATACCATCTAGAAATAACGATTTAAGTAGAAAATCTCTTCTTGAAATGAATATACTTTAATCAGAATCATTTTAATATACGACTAAAATATGAACAACGACTTTGAAACCATAATATAAAAATTACACGTCATTATAATTTATATATATATATAAATAATAAAATAATTGTTATATATATATATATATATAATATAATATTTGATAATCATATCATATAATTCGATTTGATTACCAAATATTGCATCAATTATATTTTCCTTCCAGCCACATATATATATTAATATATATATATATATTATATATATATATACAGTATTGTAATTAGAAACGATGAAAAAAAATAGATGGACATAGGCAAAAATGATAGAAGTATAACATTCAGAAATCAGAGTACTGAACAACTAAATGGCTGCCTGTTGGATGGCAGTTTTGTGCCAGTACTTTGAAATGTGACTAGTATTAGATCAAAAAATACGCTAAATTTTATCGTAATGTTGAATTGTAATTGATATAATACGCTGAACTTAACAATGATAACTTATTATAATATAACATATTACATTTTAATATAATAACTAAAATTTAATGTATAAAAATTGCAAACAAAACAGATACGATACATTTTTTCTGGCTTTCCCTTTCCTCAGACAATTCTGATTAGATTGCCAAACAGCGACTCAAAACGACCCAAAACATCAACTGGAATGGAAGAAAAAATTTGTTGAACTTATGCTAGCTGGAGAAACCAATAGCACAAATTCATTTTTGGATCAACTACAACTTCCAGCCGAATTTCTGATCAAACTGCAACTTGATTTTTATTTGTGAAAAGATGGATTGTACAAATTTTTACCCTTTTTTAGTCGTTATTTATATGTTCTGCACTTCTGAACGTCAGAATTCAAGAAAGATTTTTGCGTAATTTTCTTTAATTTGACTCTCATTGTTCAAACCATTCAATTATAAAAGTTCTTCTAAACCTACCTAACATCTCAAATGTTAAATTCTTCCAGGAACTATTTACAAAACAGCATTTCTCAGCATCACATTGAACGATAATTTAAAAAAATCTTTTTACGTCTAAGACCCTGAGTTTCCGAATACATTCAAACTTTTACAATTCTATCCACTGCTTTTTAACAAATGAAATACTGCAACTGACTGTGGATGTTCACCGACAGTATATATAACATTGCATTCAGCTTTCAGGGCTTAAATCAGTGATTGTTCATTATTTTTAATAAATTTCTAATTAGTATGAAAGTTTTTAATAAAATGCTTAAAGGTAAAATTCAATTCACAATTTGGTAATGTTCACAAAAGCAAAAAACTTGAACAAAAACTGATAAGAAATTAAAAAAAATATTAACAAACAAAACAAAAATGCAAAAGAAATAACTTGAATGTTACTTCACAAAACAAAATATTATGAAGCTGACTAACAAACGATTACAGAGTTCAGACCCAACCTCCTATCAATATTGCAAACGAATTTATGCAGTGTTCAGAAATAATGATCTAACAATAACAAAATATAAAAGAGCATATATAATACACGGGAAAAAAGGTTTTGAAACAACGTAAACGCAAATATAACAATCCACTATGCGTCTGTATTAATAAATAAATAATGATCATTTTAGATCACAATTAGAAAAACGAAAACAGAAGCAATCGACACGTTGATAAATAATACTATACTGATATTGTTAATGTAATGATGTACGACCAATACATGCACCAAGAACAACTTTTTTTCATGCACTACAAATTTAACAAAACAGTAGAGTATAATTTTCTTGAACTAAAAACACGAGTTTAACTTTGAAAAAAAATATCATACAATTTTCACACAATAATGTTTAAGCAAGGTAAAAAATGAAACAAATGTGTTTTCAAAGCCCATTGTAAACTGTCCAATATAAAGTTTAACATGAAACAATTGAAAAAGTTCTTTGTACATAAGTGATCATGATTTATTTTGTTATAAAAAAAATAAGGTGGGCAGAAAAAAATATGACAACAAAATTTAAATCACCAATATATAAATTTCTTCAAATAAATTTCCAAGAGTCAAGTAAGAAAAATAAATTGCAAATCATAACAAATTTTTCAAAATGTTTAGATAGAACATGCATTTAGTTGCAACTACTTAATGTTAATCATCACATATATAATATTGATGATGATAAGGACAAGAAGTGAGTCTGTATTGTATCTTGTATGAGTTTATGTGTAATAAGATACACTTTACTCTAGACAGCTGGATGATAATTTCTTAACAATATTCTTTGCTCACATGTTCAGTCTCATATTAGCATACACAGCGTAGGATTTATTTATTACAATTATAAGCAGTTGTTATCCGAAAGAATTCACTCTTTTTTTAAAAAATGATTCGAATGATAACCAAAAATGCCTTAGACTGATTCATTCTGTAAAAAAATAAACAGATCTAATATTGTGTGATTCAACAACAACAGCAATAAACTTATGACTGCCATGTTTACTAAAAAAAAAAAATGACTACAGATGAATGAAACGTGTTATGATCAAGTTAGAAACACTAACAAAATTGAAACTGCCACGTTTCTCATTATCAATAAACATTGACAATTTATTTTCTTATCTGTGCAAGCTATGTTTAAAGACTTCAAAATCTCATGATTTAAAGATGACAGACTAGAGAAAAAATGAAAACAGTAAATATAACTAAAGACCTGACTCTTGGAAATTATTTACAGAATTATAAGATGGTCAGTATAATAGACCATGACTTATTGGAATTTCATTTAAGAAAAGTAATTAATTAACTTAGTGACCTAATAATTTAAGAACATTTTAAACTTCAACACGTGTGTTGACACTTAAAATTATTGAATAAAACAGCTTTTACAAGAGATGACAACACAAATTTTAAACTCATATAAAAATACAGAACAGATTAATTAATCAATTAATTAATTAATTAATAGAAACATTTGAAGTATTCGTTATTGTTTTATACACAAGATATAAAAGTTGTGTGTAAAAATGTAATTCAAAATGACTTGAATTTTTTAGAATTGTTGTATCTGATGGACGTCTAGCCAGTCAGCAGCCAGCCAGACAGACAACTAGCCAGACAGAACTAGCAATATCATCCGACAACTGACATTGGAACAGCTGTGGACGAACTCTCGTGTATTCTGCATACGTAATTCTGTTCAATATTTCAACATTTATTTATGAATATTTCAAATTTAGAATAAAATTAACTTTTAATAATTTACAATAATCCTATATGCAATTATGAAGATAATGACTAACTTTATCTTTCATATTGCATTATGTTATATATAAATATTTCTTATATGCATGTATTCACATGCGAATTAATGTATAAATTATCAATAAAGGTCTTCAACATTAATTGAGATTTCCTATTGCACAGTTAATGATAGGAAATAGAAAAAAAAATGTGCTCAAAAAATACACATCCAAAACGAGAGGCCTCAAATCATGTGAATCTAATTAGTGTTGTTATTGTTAGGCATGTTTAAATCTACACTATTCAACAAAACTTTATCAGCTATTCAAACTAGAGAGATAATATTTTGGAGGCTCTTCTTCATACAACTGCAGCGTGGAATAAAAAAAAAATAACTCATGATGTTCACCATGAAATTATGCTCATTTTTTTTATCAATCTGTTGTAAATGAAGGCTCCATTTTCAAGGTGAGTCATCGGATTTTTATAGCCCCTATTATAAATATCTTTATATCTAACCTTTTTTATGTTCAAATATACAATTTTAAAAAACCTAATTTGCTGGTCTCCATTCAAAAATTATAAATTTTACTGCTTAAGTATCATTTTTTTCAGTTATAAAAAATTATTATCTGATCAAAACTTTCTTTTAATTATCCTTTAGTCAGAGAAATGACAATGAAATATATGGTGAAATAAACCAGCCAACCACAAAAAAACATAATGAGTTTTGTGAAATAAATTTTTGGGCAAATTTAGAAAATTTAAGTTATGTTTTGTAGAAATAAAATCATGTTCTTAGACTGGTGATGAGAGATTTGAAGGAAAATTTAACTTGAAAAACAAACAAACCTTGGATAGGACATCCCCGTTGAATCTTCTGACCTGATATAAATGTCTGTAGTTCTTTGGCTTCTGGAAGTTATAAGAATCTTTTGATTTTTGCTGCTGCCCATGATGATGTCGTTGTTGTTGTGGTGTCGAAAATGATGATGATGACGTCATGTGTTGTTGCTGCTGATGATGATGATTAGGATTAGATTGGTGTCGATGGTGGGTTGATTTGACAGACGTTCTCACACCCAAAGCTGGAATTAAAGTTTAAAAATTAATTAATGAAAGAAAAAAATCATAAACCATTCAACACAATGTCAACACAAAAAATTGTATCTGATATTTTTCAAATTAATTTCAAACAAGAGAAACACAAAGCTTTATGGAAGCATGATTCTAACATAAATATTTCTTTAAATTTAAAAAATACAAACTCAGTTAAGGTTTTAAGGAATGACAAAAATGAAAAGAACAAACGTTCTCGATGGTCACAATCTCTTCCAGTGAGCTGACATTGAAACACACTACCAAGCAAGGAGAAGAGTGGCCAGACAGCCAAGATCATCCACATGTACCAACATAAAAGGGGCGATTTGACTACCTTCAACCTATCAAGAGCATGGTACAATATACCAAAATGATTCACGAAATGATCAACTCCAGCTGTTACCATAGCTGATCCAATTATGGAACTCGCCAAATACGTAATAGCTCTCTGATATTTTAGGCATAACAAAGCAAATAACAGGCCAACACTTAAAATGGAACCAATGGGCACCCATTTGGAATGAACCTGAATGAACCAGTCGGCAACAATTAAACCGGCAACTGCCAAGAGGAACCCCATATGAAAGCCAGTCATGAAGAGACCAACATACTGAACCAGCATCGTTATCAGGCCGCACAGAATGCCTGCCCCCATCGCAACTCCGATCTTTGCTTCAATCGTTAGGAAATTTTCTTCAATGCAAATTAAGTATGTTACCAAAGAACCAAATAAAAAACCGGTTAAAAACATGCTGGCTTTGAAGTATCTGTAGCCTGGAAAAAATAAAATAAAGCTTAAAATAAAGGAAACAAATTTTTAAAAATTTAAATTGAAAATATTATAATAAAAACATAAACAAACCACAAAAGCAATGAAACAGGCCAAAAAGTATGCAAAAGCTACAGATGACAGATGGAATAATACGATAATTTGTGTCAATGCGATCACATTTGACAGCCCCTCTATATTTGGGCGTCGTGTGGGGGATCCTCGGTGGGTAAGCATAATACGGGGTTGAGCTGAAAACTACAAAATGATCACTATCAGGTGGATATATGGACTCTCCCTCGTGAGGAGTCTCATCTTCGTGGGGGTCTAGTTCTCCATCCCAACTATCCATTTCAAACTTTTATGTGATTAGTCTGTCTGTTAAGTTTTTGTTAGATTTTGTAAAATCATACTGAACAGGAATGATCAATAACATCAAGTTAAACATGCATGTATATATATAAATATATAAACAGATATGCACATATAAACATATCTATAAAAATATATACACACAGACTCAACAAATATAGAATGAACACGATATTACATGCAAGCCACAGTGATAAATTACCAGAATTTTATGTAAAAATAGCAACATAAATATACAAATGGGGAAATAATGTATTGCAGAGATTCAATGAATAAGCAGAATTATTAGAATAAAAAAAAGCTAAGACTGATTGAATAACCAAAAATATTACATAAATAAATATCAGGGGCTAGATTGTTTAATGGTGAAGATATCTGGTCTTGTTGTTGCAGTGTCCAGGATCAATGCAAAAAAATCAGATATAATATATGTATGTGATTCATGGATTCAGCATATTCACATGCACTATACATGTGTGTGTGAGTATGTTGTTAAACCCCCCCCCCAAAGAATTAAGAGAATAATAATAATAACACCGATAGTAACTATACTATATAATACAACATACATAGTACATACATACATCAGTTTCTGTAAGTGTAAGGTGTAAGTAATTATTTCAAACAGGCTTTTGTCATGCAACTAACTGTAATAGTGTAATGTAATGTAATTTTAACAACAGTTACATTTTACTGGCCTTGATTTTGTTGTATTAAAAATTAAAACCTTTTTGTAATTAACAAAACAAATAAAAGAAATGAAGTGTAAGTTTTTGATATAGGACATAGGTCATAGGATAGATAGAATAATTACCCATTAATTTTAAATTTTTAATTGTTTGATTTTTATATTTATAAAATATAAATATTAAATATAATTGTCAATTCTAATCTCTGATAATCCTAATCCTAATGCTATGCGAATCCAATCGAACTAATTATTTTGACAATTAGAATAGAACAGATTAAAAATCAAAAAATTACGAAATGAAATTTAAAATAAATAAATCTGGCATTTAAAATTTAAATGGAATGAACAGAGAGAAAGCAAGAAACAAACAAACATCATCAAGTGCTTCTTCAAACAAACGCAACAAATGCAATGGAAACAAATCCGATTCCTAAAGAAAAAAATACACTAACTAACTAACTTTCTGATTCGACGGTTGGTTAAATTAAATAACTAGTGCAAAGACCGATCCGAAGAAGATGATATCATCATTTTCGTCACGAAATGGAGAAACTATTTATTTATCTCTTTTCAATTGCTAATGAGTGTAAGGAGCCACAACAGAGAGAAAAAAAACAAAGGCAGGAAGAATTTTTTTAGGATGGGCTGGGATGATGATTCAGCAGCATCAATTGTTTTGCGCAGTCAACGTTTTAAAATTAATTATCTAACAGTTTGAATTATTAACTCTACGTAATTTTGAATAAAAATACCAATTCGTTACATACGCATGTATAGAATGTGTATTCTACATCACAGATAACTTTTCTTGGAACTACCAGCCAAAAAATTGTCATAATATATATAGGTTTAATTTTCATTAGAACTACTTCCAAAAAGTCCTATATTTAACAATATTTTGGTACGAATTCAAATAAAGCACACATTTTTTAAATATTTTGTTCATGTTTGGCCATAAGATTTTGTATTTTAAAACTCATCATTTACGGTATATATCACATTAATGAAAATTTAGTTGCTAAGACTAACATCTTCAAACAAATAAGAAACAAATTATAAGGCTATTTGATCATCTCTACTGTAATTTTTATGAATTGTCTTCGTATGGTCCTTCTTTAAAGTAATAAAACTAATGTAACTAAAAAAAAGCTTCATCGAGACCATTGAATGTTCACAAGTAGATGGCAAAATGTTCTCAATTTAAAAAAATAGTAAAAGCAGCAAGCGGGCAATAAGCGGTTCAACTGGGTATTGAAATATCTACTTGAAAGATCAAATAGCCTTATAATCAGATATATTAATTAAATATGAACTGATATGATTAAAATGTTTATGATCGTAACTTTAAAGAAAAACTCAACGAATTTAATTCAAAAGAACTGCAAAACTGTGCCCTGCTAGAGGACAAATAAGTATCCAGAAGAAAGTTAATGCATGCTTTCTCCCCCCTCACATCACGTATCTTTGCAAATTAATAGCTTTAACACATCTTCACCAAAATGTTTTTTTATTTATTTTTTCAAAACTTTGTTATTAATTGATAAAATTTATATTTTGAATAGAGGTTTAATGACATTCGATTAAAACTTTACAATCGTTTTTATGATAGAAGCCATTCAATTTTTAAGTTCTGTTTGTTATATTTATATCGGAGAACAGAGAACAGGCGGAACTAACTAAATTATGCTTAACTATAACTTTATTTTAACTATCCAAATAATCTTTTAAACCATCATCGTACATAATTACTCTAGTCTGTATTAAACTCAGCCGAAAGAAAGGAAGAAAATTTGAGTTTCAAAAGGAGAGCAATAAATCGCATGTATTTTCGATAATTTTAAATTTAATTGCATTAAAAATAAAAAATCTCATAGTTGCATGATTTATTAATAAAGACAATTTGACAATATTGTAAAAGTATTTTAGTATAATGATTGAAAATCTAAAATGAATATTGATGTGTGTGAAAGTTTGTTAAATGTGAAATATCAATGCCGGTCAAATTTTTAATAAAAATTGCCTTAACTAACATTTCAAATGAAGATCGCATATTATCTCAGCGCATATTGAAGATCTCATTCCAAATTATTTACTCAGCAGCGATAAACAGAAGAAAGTTTTACACGAATTTGATCATTCATCAAATTATCTAAAAGTCTGAAACAATTAAATGAAATTTCAAATTACGAGATAACAGCAATTATGTAATTTAAATGCAGACGTCATATCGTTATGTTATGCAACCGACACATGTATCTAAAACAAGCATAATGTTTCCAGCTCCAAATAGTTAGCCAGAACATTCATCGCGTTATAATATTAATTTTAATGTTAATATGGAAAAGATTAATTGCTCCATGGCTTGCAGTCATCAACGTTGATGATGGTGTGACACTTCAGCTTTGAACCCATCTTTCCTTGGCTTATCTTCTGACAGCAAAGTGGATCCCCGGAATAATTATCCGTCATTTGGCAGTCGTCAGTTGAAATGCACGGCATTCCTACCAATCAATCAATCAACCAATCAACCAATCAATCAATCAATCAATCAATCAATCAATCAATCAATCAATCAATCAATCAATCAATCAATCAATCAATCAATCAATCAATCAATCAATCAATCAATCAATCAATCAATCAATCAATCAATCAATCAATCAATCAATCAATCAATCAATCAATCAATCAATCAATCAATCAATCAATCAATCAATCAATCAATCAATCAATCAATCAATCAATCAATCAATCAATCAATCAATCCATCGATCGATCGATCGATCGATCGATCGATCGATCGATCGATCGATCGATCGATCGATCGGTCGGTCGGTCAGTCAGTCAGCCTGCCAGCCAGCCAACCAACCAATCAATCAATTGATCAAACATTTATTTAATTTTATGGATATTATAGACTGGTAGTGATGCAATTTTATAATTGTATGAAACGTTTGAAGTGTCTGTGAAACACACCAGTTCCTTTGCTTCCAGGTTTTCTCAACAGGAGAGTTCCATATGCTTGCGTATCGTAATTCCTGGAGTACACCGGCTGGCTGTTGTACATCTTATCCTTGAAATCTCTTGCAAAATCGTAACTGGTTTCCAGCTTGTCAGGTACGCAATACTTGCTGTTGGAGCCGATGACGGAAGAGCAGGTCGTCATCTCGCCGCACTGAATGCTCTCCGTACATCTCCTCAAACGCTTCTTCGCCAGACATTTTCCTGATATGCCTGATGTGGAAGAGTTGGTGAAATTATTAAACAATCTATAAATTTTTCTATTATTTAATTAATTCCTTTATTTATTAATCAACTAAAATACAAAAACTAATCCTATATACTGCTGCAGAACATAAAACTTTACTCTCACTACTAAACAATATCGCCAAACATAAATTGTGCCCAACACTACAAAGTTTCATACTCCGTCTGGTATAAGATTTCAGATAGCAATAAAAATATTTAATTAGTAAGTGATTGACTAAACAAGAAATATTTGAAATAATCGCTGGTTACATGGTCCGTCAGCCATCTATTCCACACTGGAACGTAGGCCAAACTGCCAACTTCTTTCGTATTTGTCAGTTTAAGTTTTTTTTTCAGTTTTTTTGTTTTAAATTACAAAAAAAATTTTTAAACCGAAATTCATGTTTGTTTTATAATTTTGTGTTTATTTGTTTGTACTAATTCAAAGAAACGAATTTGCATTTGCATAATCAAGCAGACGGTTTCTTTTGATGTTTTGACTGTCGCATTATTATCTCTTGTTCAGACTATTCTAATATTTCTATGATATGCCGCAAAAGTTTTCAAAAAAATCTAGAGCAAAAATTATTATCAAACGATAACATAGAACAAAGCACAGAAACATACATTGAATCGCTATGTATAGAAAATTATTATATACGCTATGATCGTACTCTCACACTAACAAAATGCACAAACAAAATACACATCCACACATACATATACACAAATGTGTATATAAATGTGTGGTGTGTATTTTGTTTGTGTGTGTTGTTAGTGTGAGAGTACGATCATAGCGTATATAATAATTTTCTATACATAGCGATTCAATGTATGTTTCTGTGCTTTGTTCTATGTTATCGTTTGATAATAAT